CCATCGATCACCAATGCAAGACAAAATCTGTGACTATAAAGCACAATACACATGCTTTTCTGAGAAACTGTGCCTCCCCTGTCTGCTCCAAGGCCCCATCAAGGCTGAGACTGTCTTGGTCACTCTGTCACCCCTGGCACAGCAGCTTGCACCTAACAGAAATGAAATACACCTTCCTGAATGTAACCCAACACTGTGAAGCCTTATCTATAAGTCAGTGGCATGACACACATGCTTCAAAACCTCACTCTGTATAGCCCTGAACATAGGGCTGGCTTCATAAGAGATAGTCAATAAATATTAGTTAACTAGCTAATTTTTACCCAAATGCCAGTCTGACTGGAAATGCTTCTAATTGCCTGCTAAGACAGAACCAATGGTCGTGGCAAAGTATATCCAAAAAGGAGGTCAAGATATTTGTTCTCGAATCTGTTTCTCCTCCTCCCAGCCATTATCTGAGTCATCCAGACCCAGAACCCTTGAGTCATCTTTGATATCTCTCTTGTCAACATGTAAACAGGTTTCAAAAGTCCTGTCTTTTATACCTTCTGTAAGTCTTGCTCCTATCAGTCACCAGCCCAATGTTCCTTACCAAAGAACTCATCACCAACCGCCACAGCCTCCTCCTCCCAGATCCACCCTCTCCACTGTAGACATGCCCACATGCCTCCAACGACTCTACTCATGTCACTACCTTGGCTGATATGACTCAGTAGTCTCACTCCACAGCCCACAGGGTAAAATCCAAATGCTTAACCAATCCCTTCATAATCTACCCCTTAACATACTTTTCCAACCTCATTATCCCACTATTCTTTCCATCAAGAAGAGTGATCTCTTTCCACTCCCATCTCCCCATGTCCAAAAGAGGTCTATTTTCCAAATCACAGGTCAAACACAATCTCCTGCAGCAAAGGCCTTCCCTGGCACCCAAAACATACTCCCTACCACTTTCCTAAAAAACCTCTTCCCATCTGAATTTTCAAAGTAACTCCTAGAATTTTTCTCCTTCTCTCTTACAGTAGTTTCTTATACACATGCTTTTCGCCTCCTCTCACAGACTGCAGAGTTCCCTGTGAAGAAGTTCTAGGTCTGGCTACTTTGTTTTAACCACCACTACTTCTCCCTCCTCCCACTCCATACTCATCCCTTCCTCTACCCCACAGTGCCTTACTAGGTAGAGTTCAGTAAATACCCCAGATCCTTGGCCTGCTCCAATTCAAGAAGAGAGACTAACACTTAGGAATTTCTCACTTGCCTTGCCAGTGACAGAACCCTGCATCTCTCTTCCTGCACATCCATAGTCACTGCAATGAATGGATAAACTTTCTGGGCGGGGAAAAAAAATCCTCAAGGAGAAAGTGAACAGGTACCACTGGTGACAGAAGTGAACAAAAGGAATGGCAGAAAAAAAGGTAGCAATGGTAGAGAAAGGGATAGTGGTCAAGAGGTCTCCGGAGAATACATAATTGTCAAAAGCCTAGGACAGGTATTTGTTCAATGAGTGAAATAAAAAGCAAAGGAATAAATCTGAAAATTGAAAAGAGAGCAAAGTTTCTTCTTTCCCTCTTTCTACCAGCTTATATTGATGAAGTATTTTCTGGAACAGTGCTATCCAACAGCACTTTCTGGAATGATACAAGGGTTCTGTTAATCTGTACTGTCTGCTAGTATGGGGACCACTAAGCACACAGCTACAAAGCAACTGAAACTGGGCTAGTGTGACCAAAGAACTGAATTTTTAATTTTATTAAATTTAAAGTGAAGTAGCCAGGGCGCCTGGGTGGCTCAGTTGTTAAGTGTCTGGCTTCGGCTCAGGTCATGATCCCAGGGTCCTGGGATCGAGCCCCACATGGGGCTCCCTACTCTGCAGGAGGCCTGCTTCTCCCTCTCCCACTCCCCCTGCTTGTGTTCCCTCTCTCGCTGTCTCTCTCTGTCAAATAAAGAAATAAAAAGTCTTTAATAAATAAAAAAATAAATAAAGTGAAGCAGCCATATGTGGCTAATGGCTACTGTATTGGCCCGTGATTGTCCAGCATATGGAATGTATTCACCTTGTATTTGAACAGTCAGAAGTATTTTCCCGACCAAATTCCAGTAAGCTAATAAAAGTCCACGGTCAATTTTCTGTTTAGTAAACCATTACATTTTTTCCAATTTTCACCTTCATTTTACTGAGGAAGGGAAGGAGAGCATGGTTGAAGAGGAGACTAAGAAAAGGATACACGCTAGGGTCAAAATGTCAGGCACTGTGCTAGAAGTATTCTTCGTGCACTATTTCTTCTGATCCCCCCCTCAGCTACTCCTGAGATAGAGATGATCCCTCTTTTAAAGCTGAGGAAACGGAGATGGAGAGCAATTAACTGGCTTGCCGATGATAACAGGTTATTAGGACGAGGGTTCAAATCTTCGTCTGAATGCAGACTGAGCTCCCAAGCATTACACTTGAATTGCTAATACTAAAACGGGCAGAATGAAAAGTAGGTTAGGGAGCTCCCAGGAGACTAATGTTATTCAGAGCACATTAAAAGCTGGTCCCGCCAGCTTACTTGACAAGAGACTAAGGATGTATCCAGGCAACTTGGTTGATGTCTGGTAAATGATGCTCAATAAACTCGACCGCTCCTTGAACCATAGGTATGATTCCAAGTTGGGATACACAGCAGTGAACAAAATGGAAGTCTCCACCCTTGTGAGGTTTATATTCCAGTAAAGGAATTAAAAAAAAATAATTAGGAAGACCTCTAAAGGTGGTAAGAACTGAACAGACACCCAAATGAGTCAGTTAGCTCTACGGAGAAAATGAGAGAGACTGTTTCAGGCCAAGGCAGCTGCAAGGACAAAGATGGAGAGGTAGAAGCATTGGGAATGTACAGAGAACAGCAAGGAAGTTAGTGTGGCAAGAGCACGGCAAATGAAAAGAGAAGTAAGAAATACGATTGCAGTTAACCAGTGGCCAGCCCTGTTGGGACTTGCAGGTCACTGGAAGGCTGGAATATATTTTTAAGATCACGGAGAGCCACGAGAGTGGACAGTGCAGGTGCAGGAGGGTAAGTGTATTGAGAAAAGTGAAAGAGACATAATCTGATTTATGTTATAAAGGGAACACTGGAACTGTAAAAATAGGCTATGAGGAAGCAAAATCAAAGAGAAAAAGTAAAAGCAGGAAGTCCAAGTAGGAAGGACTGTTTTGAGTGATGAAGCAAGTTTAAATTAGTAGAATAGCTGCACATGTAGAGTGGAAATGGAAACTAATTTTAGGAAAGATTTTAGCTAAATACATCAGGTCAAACCAATACCCATGGACAGATGGGAGGGAAAAAAAGGTTGATTTCTAAACGAGTCCCGTTAGAAGTGAACTGTCCACTCAGTCTCTTCAGATTCTGTTAATGTGCCTAGACACTACTTCCCACATGCTCACACATTCGCACCACCAGACAACACCATCATCAGCAAGTTCCCACAGGACACGCTCACAGATAATCCAATTGTTCCATGACACAGACCTCTGCGATTTTTCTATATTTGAGTATTTCAGAACCAGTGTAGCCGACAAATTCTGACTGAAGTACAAGCAGCATTGAGTAACACCAACACTTTCTAGCTAATCTTCCCTTCCTTCCCGCAACACCTTCAATGCCCCACTCAATTCTTCCCAAAGTTCTGCAACACTGTTTCCCAAAATCTTAAGACACCAGAAAGGCAGAAGAAAAACCGTCAAGCCAGAACCTCCTGAGTGTGCTTCCCTACCCACGATCCCCTAGCAAAGCAACCCTCGAGGCTGTTTGGTTTCAGGTGCAGGCTCCCCTGGCCAGATGCGTCCCAGGGCTATCCGAACACACACCTCAAGGCGCCGGGCGGCCTAACTCGCTCATCACTGCAGGCAGCCTGCACGCGCTCCTCATGCCTGGACCCCGACTGCAGGGCAAAGCAGGCGCGCAGCAGAAGCGCGGAGCCACCAACCAGCCACCGTCTACAGCGCCCCCCTTGGTAACACGCGAGGGGCCAGACCACGTCCCGCCTCACAGAAGGCCTTCCTGCTTCCGTCCCCTCTGCCATTCCTCAGCGCCCTGAGCAGCAAGCTGTGCTCTACCCCAAAACGAGCTTCAGGGGATGCCTTAGCTGTCCGTCCGTCCCCTCTACTCCTCCTCTGCTCTCACGGATTATTCCTCCGAGGTGTCCCCCCCGGGAGGTCTAAGTCGGCGAAGAGCAGGGGGAACGCTGGGTGCCAGGGCCAGCCACCTCCGTAACTCTGGCGTCACCTCCTGTACCTGCGAAGTGGGAGTAACGGACATGCAGGCTCCTTCAAAGGCTGTTCCCAGGCCCAGCCAAACGCGGAAACCCCGCCAGCTGTCCTGTGCCGCCCAACCTTAAGACCCGGGCAAAGCTCAGCTCAAGACCGACAGGGCAGGTCGCGACCGGCACCCCGCGGCCCCTCGGTGGCCATCAGGTCAAAGGAGGAGCCCCTCCTCCAACGGGGGTGGCCCGGAGAAGCACGCCGGCGGTCCCCGCAGGCAGCGCCCCACCGCGGGCCTTCCAGCCCTCGCCCGCACAGCGCGGCTCCACAGCGCGGCTGCCCGCAGGCAGGCAGGGCGGGAGAGGCCCCATCGCCTCCGCCGGCCGCGTCACCAAGAGCGCACCCGGCGAGGGCGAGGACCGGACGGAGAGGCGACCTCGGCCGCCCCCTCCGCCACGCCGGGGGCCCAGCCCGTCCGGGCGCCGGACGCGCCGGGACAGCAGTTTCGCTTTCCCGAGGAGCGGACGCCCCAGCCCGCGCGGCCGCCGCGGCCCGCGGGGTGAGGGGCGCCCGAGGGGCGTCGCCTCGGGAGCCGCGCTCAGAACGCCGGCCCGCGCGGCACCCACGGGCGGCGCCGGACGGCCCCGGGGACGCGCCGCGCCCCGCGCCACCGCGGCCGGCCGACCCCCGCACGGCCGCGACGCCCGGCCGGCAGCGCCCGCCCCGCCCCGCGCCTTCCCGCGCGGCCCCTCACGCGCCCTACCTTCCGCCATGTCGGGCCGGCCCTGCTGCAACCTCGCGAGAAGAGCGCCGCGCCCAGGGCGGCGCGGACCGGGGCCGCGGGTCTCGCGAGAGCTCGGGAGGCGGGCGGAAGCAGCGCCAGCGGGAGGCGGGCGCAGGCGGCGCGCGGTGGCCTCCGCTCCCCTCGCGCCCTCGAGGCGCTGGCGTGCGGCGCGCCGACGGCCGGGGTCGTGGCCGCGGCCCGTTCAGGACCTTGAACGGGGTGGACGCAGCGGGCAACGCTCTTCCTCGCAGAAACCTGGCCGGGAGGCGGCCGAGAGGGGCTCCGCGGTCTCCGGGCGCTCTTCCGACCGGGGAGCTGAGGCGGCGGCAGAGGCGACAGGAACCGGGCGGGGCTCGCCGCGGACCCCGCTACAGAACCCTCCGCGCACCCATCCGCGGACCCCACTGCGCACCTCAGCGCGGACCCCTCCACGGCCCTCACTGCACACCCCACCGGGGACCCCACTACGCACCCCTCTGCGGACCTCGCTACAGAACCCTCCGCGGACCCCTCCGTGGAGCCCAGTACGCACCTCACCGCGGACCCCTCCACGGACCTCACTGCACACCCCACCAGAGACCCCGCTATGCACCCTCACGGACCTCACCGCGGGCCCCACTGCACATCCTACCGAGGACCTCACCATGCACCCCACCAATGACCCCGCCATGGGCCCCACTGTGGACCCCACCACGCACCCCACCTCTGACCCCACTGCAGACCCCGCTATGCCCCCCACCACACACCCCACCAGTGACCCCTCCGTGGACCTCACGGGACCCCACCGGTGACCCCAATGCAGAGTTCACTGCACACCCCACTGTGGACCTCAGTGCACACCCGAGGACTCCACTGCAAACCCCACCAGGGACCACAGGCCGTCACTTAGTCGTTTAAAGCCCATGCAAGCGGACATGAAGGGGCAGACAGGTGTCAGGAGATCAGTTGATGACATCAGTTCAGGGACCAGAGAGCCGAGAGATCTGGGGAGGGGCGGTGGGCTGGAGGGCCTGCATCACGCGTCTCCTGCGCGTGTGAACCAGGCGCTTTCCCAGCAGAAGCCCCACCTGGCTGAGGGCATGGATGATGGTGTTGGCCAGGCCTTGGGACACAGTGCATGAGTGGACAGCTCAGGTGCTGACTGGGTAGGGGCTGGTGGAGGGTCTCTGTCACATCGAGGGCCGTTGTGGGCCCTGTGCTCAGGGTGGCAACCGGAAGCTCCTAGGTTCGATAGCACTGGGTCACGATAAAGTCCAGGACAGGGAGTGAAACACACCCGCTGCGGTGAACCTAAGAAGCCAGGAAAATTAAGTATTGGGATTGAGAGGTAGGGAAGGAAGGAGACCCTAAGGCAGGAGCCAAAACCTTCAGTGAATCTGGGGATGTCTAATAGCAAAAAACAGGCTTAACGAGTAATATAATCAAATAGCAGGAGCTCTTTCAAAACAAGATTTGTACTCAAAGGAGAAGCAAAAGAACGGTGATGGCACCCATTTCTGGAAGCATGAGGACCGCAGGGGAAGTGGTGGCTGGGAGAAGGTAGAGATTGAAGAAAGGGCCTGAGGACAGGATGAGGGGTCAGAACAGCAGAGGGGGGGATCCCAAGTTGGAGAAGCCGTGGGTGCTGTCAAAGGTAAGCATTCGTGGGTAGTAAGGGGGAGTAGAGAAGGAATTTGGAGTTTGGATCATGGGGTTAAAGTTCTGAGAAGAGGGAGGGACACGCGGGAGATGGAAGAGAAGAGGTTGTCAAAATGTGTCAGGACAATGGTTCGCTCAGGGAAAGGATGTTCCAGCTGCGGCAGGACACTAAAGGTGCACGGGAGGTGGGCAGGGGCAGACTGGCGAAGCCGGGCTGAGCAAGCGGCACTTAGACTAAGGAGGATTAGGGGAGGACTTGCCTGGCCTAACGGAGCTGCCATAGCCCAGAGCTTCCTTGTCTGTCAAGAATGGCTTAGAGGTGTGCCAGGTGGTGAGCCGTTGGCGTCATCAGCGTGGCCTGGCAAGCCCGTCTCCTTCGGCCACGAGCAGCTTTGTCCATTTAAGAGCACCCTGCAAACATTTTCTGGGGCGTAACATAGAAATGAGGTGGAAGCGTATGGGAAATACCATCAAAGCTGATGCCTGTTTTGCATCAGACCACTTATCTTGGTCTCACCAGCACCAGCCTGGTATCTGACATACAGCAGGTGCTTAATGTTTGATGAGTTGTTACCTCTGTGAGCTATACCAAGTCAGGAGAACTGGGTTCAAGTTTGGCTCAGCCGCTGATGTGCTGCGTTGATGGAGGCAAGTCCCTGCAAGCTCATGCTCCCACCTCAGACTCTACAGCAGTTTCAGCAGGGAGCTGGACTGGAATCCACAGTTCTTAATGATTTGGAGGGTCATGACCCCCCTGAGAATGTGATGAAAACCAGGGACAGCAGGACACATGCAGGAAGAAACAAATTTGTTCCCTTCCAGCTTGCTTGGACTAGATGCCCACAGTCAAATGGAAACTCACGCAAGGGCTCGAGTACCTCCTCATCACAACCTCCCTCAGACGCAAGCGCAGTTCTCTTAGAAGGGCCCGGGATAGAACCCGATCCTGGGCCCTTGTCTTCTGAGTGTACTCTTAACTGGTTTGAAAGCCCTAAGCTACGGAGAGGCCTACAAAGCATCGCTAGTACTGGACGAACTAACAACACCCAGCAGGCTTCAGCGGAGATCCCAACATTAGATACGACCGGAAATAGAGACGTTTTGAAAAATCTGAGCACTAGAACAGGGCTCAGTATAGACCTGGTTTGGGTTTTGCTCAGATGAAGAGGAACTTGGTGTGGAGTTACCCGGGACAGGGAGCATGAGGTGCGTGAATGGTAAATGCTGACTGCCTTAAGGGTACAAGGGAACAGGGTCTTCCTGGGGGAGAAGCACCATGTCGCGGTAGAAAGGGGAAGGGAGGGAATCACTAGACCAGTGAATTGGGTTCAGGTACAAGCCTCAACATACGCACGCTCTGACTTTGGGGAAACCGTCCCTGAAGTAAGGGGTGGCAGCACCCGCTATGTAAGTGAGGCCATGGAACTGAATCCCGGCTGTGAAACTTTCTTGCTCGACAGTTTTGACACACTGACCTGAACCTGTTTCCTTACGAGAAACCATTACTTTGGAGGATCCTTGTAAGAATGGGACTACATCCTTTATGAGACACACCTGCCAAAAGTAGAAGCTGGATAAATAGAAATAGGATTTCTAGGGCTCCTAAGAACACACAGCGTGATCATGCTTATTCCTCAGGAGATACTGCTGGGAAGGGAGAAAAACCAAGTATTTTGCCTAGGACTTTTCTGTGCAGCTCCTAGGTCTAAGATGTGTCTGCTTTTGGGGAAAGTCTTTTCCTTCTCCTTTGATTTATTCCGTCTGTGTGAATAGGATTCAAAATTTTTTATCATTTCACTACAGCATGGGGGGCATGCTGGTTCAGTGAATTAAAACCATAAACCCTAACCCTACCTTGGCAGTCCTGTTACACCCACCTGAAACTGAGCAACCAAAAATGCCTTATCCCGGAAATAGTTTGCTCTGCAAACGGAACTCCTGCTGGGGTTTGCAGTCCTCTGAAAAGGCCTGTCTTTATGAGGGTGAGGGAGAAAACCAGCGGGTCCTTCTTTAAAGCCCAGAGCCTTGCACACAGTAGACCTAGTCCAACACCTGTGTCTTCGCATTGGAAGCAGCTTGTTTGCTATAACCTTGGGCAGATGCTTGTGCATAAAACTGGTATCTAATGTTCGGGGACATCATCTGGACCCTTTTATAATCTATTTCAAAGGTATTTATCAGGAAAATTAAATTTTGATGATGACCTCCCATCTGCTCTCAAGGATTTTCTTTTCTCTAACTCGGTTCTGATTAGAGATCTGGCTTCTTGTTCTTTTCTCTGGGAGGAGGAGACCTTCACAGCCACAGGCAGCGTATGTCCCAGCAAACACCCCCTCACAGTTGTAAATCCACATGGTGGAAGGCTAGGCAGTGACATCCTATTAAGAAAAAAAAAAGAAAAGAAAGACAGAAAAAGTACTCAGTCTTGCCTCTTTTTGCCGCTAACTTACTAAGTGATCCTGGTCAGGTATTTGGGCCACATTTGCCCATCTGTGTGGAGGGAGGGAGGGTGATGCTTGAGATGGTGCCTGTGGTCTCTTCCAGTTCACTTTCAAGTCTGGGTTCTTAACCTTCTAGCTTATTATGTCTGTGGTAGAGCCAATTCAGGCCGAAGACAAAATCCCCCAAAATGCCCTAAGTCAGCAGGCACACAACCCTGGTGAGGAAAAGTGCTTGGTCCCATACTGGAAATTTTAAGACTGTTACATCAGATTGGAAGTCAAACTTCCCACCCTCTGGTTCTTTCTTTAAATGAAGTTTTAAGAATTCATTATCCAGATTCCCCTGTGGACCTTTTGGTATCATGTGCTGTTTAGAAATAATCCCACAACTTGCTTTTGAGACCTGCATCCTAAAACCAAAATAGCTCCGTGATACAGCCTCTAAGTCATCATTTATTGATTTACAGAGCACCCACCACATGATGGAGGTGCTTTACAATACAGCAAACATCACAACAGAACTCATAGTTAAATACAATCAACAAGTTACAGAACTAAAAAAAGCTGGAATGAAGCAACATTATGTCAAATTTCAAAGATGCTGAGAAGTGGCAGGTACAAAGAAGGTAATTCCACCAACTGGAGACCAGACAGGCAAAAATAGATACACAGGCACCACAACCCAAAATGTGCAGATTTGTAGAGGGTAAGTGAGCATATAGAATAAAATTTCACAACCGAGAATGAAGGCCATTAAAGATACCAGGACACCCAAGTGATCAGAGAACCAGTGGAATCGCCTCACAAAGAGACCGCCTTGTAATGACAAGGAAACCAATCTCACGTGGATTTTAAACTCACAGAAAAGAGGCCAGAAAGCCACTGAGATCATCCATCCCATTATGAGCACAGACTGAAATCTAAAAGCCTTTACAAGAACTTGGAATCAATTTAGGAAACAGCCAACAATTCTAAAAACCCATAAGACTGTATAGATGTTGTTGATAGTTGGCACAGAGTTAGGGAGAAAAATCCTTTTCCTAAAGCAGAGAGGACTCACCTCACACTAGTGATGAGGCACTGGTGGGACAAAAGCCACCTGGATCAGTGTCACCTGAGAGTGGTTTAGTATCAAACGTGGAGGCGTGCAGTTCACACTGTCAGATGAACACGGGGAAAGGCACAGGTGACGCCCCTGGCAGAGGAGACAGGTCACACCACCTCCCAAGGCCTGTGTGTCCACATGTAGCACGCCAGGGCGCCAGGTGGAAAGGAGCATGAAGGGAGGGGCACTGGTTCCTGGCTCTCCCTTCGACTCCCCTAGATCTAGCCCCAAAACACACATGGTTACACCAAAGTACCTGCATGAAAGTGGCACTTAGAGTTCAGTAAGAGTTGTCCCTGAGTTAGTAGGTCATTTGCTGCTCCCTGAAGAGTCAAATCCCAGGTTTTAACTCAACAGATCACTAGCAGAATCACAGCAAGAGGAGAGCAAAATCCAGTCTCCGTTCTGCCACCAGCAACCATGTGAACAGTTTCTGATTTAAGAGTAAGAGGGATTGCATTCAAATCCCAGGCAGGTGTGCAGTACCAGCACTTTGGGGCAACGAGTTTTACAGTCTTTGAATAAAAAGAAGTCACAAATGAAGTTCTTGAAGAAAACCAGCTGCAATGAATCAAATCAAGCAATTTTCACATTCAGTCATTACACATTTATGGGTTTTTATAATGCTTCAGAGTAAAGAACAGACAAGGATTTAGAAAAATCACTCTCTACTGTGTCTACATCCTCAACCATTTTACTTTTGCTTAAAGAAGGACATGCAGAGTCCACAAGGATGGGTTACTTGTAGGGACCCTTTCACTCTCTGCCAAAGCATCTCTCCAAGCCCCACAGAGCAGAGACACGCCGATTCTCACGGAATCGTGTCCCATCTGGTACTGTCTCCGTTTCTGTCCCTTACAGGCCAACTACTGCACTTCCCAATCCCAACCTCACACCCAACACAGGGGAACTTGGGCCTGCCCATTAACACTGCACACGTTCACTTCGTCATTTCCTGAAGCTGTTTTAGAAAACATGATATGAAATATACTTATGCTCAAACACTAATAAAATCCAAGTGCACTATGTCAGTGACAGAATCTGTATGTCAAATAGCAAAGCATTCACACCCCTATAATGCTTTGAGATCCACGTAAGAACCTAGATAGAGCCCAATACTACACTGCCATGGCCATGGGATTTTCAAGTATTAAGTCTGTTTGCATAAGGAATCAACCTGAGATTTTTCTAAACTGCACTTCTCTGGCATTCAGTATTATAACCTTCATTCAATACAATAAGAGCCAACAACTTGACAATTATTGGAAAAAAATTATATTTTGGAAGAACTCACTACATAAGGTGACAGAATTCCAAAATCAAATTACATGAAAATATACATCGCAATTTCTTTGTACAGTAAGTGAGAAAAATCTGCAATATAGAAGAACAGAGGCAAAGAAATTCGGAGGGCCACGGAGAAAGGGGTGGGAGGTCAACAACGTCTGTAAGAGCAAACCCACAAGTTAAGCAGAAAGCCTGCAGCTGGGCACACTAATCCATCCAACCTGAACGCCCAGGAACGAACGGGAAGGCAAAAGCAAAACCAAACCAGAATTTTGTACTGTCTGGGGCAAGTGTCAGTAAGCTGAATTCCGAACCAACTCTTTTTAGTTCTCAGGGGTGACGGAGTTCAAGAGCTCTCAACAGCCAAAATGTGGTATTGCTACACCCGAGCCAAGAGATGGTGCAACTGGAGTACCAAACGACAAGCACCTAGTGATGACCACTCCTCTGAAGTCGTCGTTAAAAATCAAGTAGTTGCTTATTAAGTATTTCCGTACTGGAACTAAATGATGTGAAAACTTTCTGGCAGAGAGAAGAGAGAAAAGCAAAGGGGAGTGTGTCAAAACAAAGAAGATACAAAAGTTTAGTAAGTGAAAAGAGTTTAATGAAGCCTCAATGGTTTAAAGGAAATTAAATGGAAACTTTTAATCCTAATTGTTTTTCATCTGACATGCTTTAAGGAGTCTTTTAAAACTGATAAGAAACAACGAATAGGGAAAGAAAACCTGCTAAAATCTTTTAGAATTTACACGATTCTTATTCTACTACAAGAAAGCATTATTTGGTACAAGGTGTATTTGTGGATGTACATGAATAGTATATATATTATCCGGATCATGTTGTGCTATGTACAGGTCTTTACAATTCTTCCTGAAGGTTAAAACAGTTCATTAGAATTCAAAATGCGTAATCCTCTGTAAGTTGGCACTTGTTAGGCTCTTGTCAGCTCTGATACTGGCATGTTCTATTGCAGCCCAGCTCCAGCCAGCGTCCGCCAACTTGTTACAACAGAAGTCCAGCAATAGGTGGGTAGAGTGCAGGAAAAACAGTGCCATGTTTCTCAATTGGAGACCTGCGACAAAACAAACAGCATTACATAATGAATTTACAGAAGAATTCACGGATTAGAAATTTTTATTTGTATTCTATTTCTTTGGAAACAAGTTCTTAATTTCATTTTAAGCTCACTTTTGTGCTCATCCAACATGGTAGCCACATAGGCCCATTTTATTTCAAATTTAAATTACAGTAAATAAAATTTACAATTCAGTTCAAGTGCTCAATATGGCTAGTGACCACCATACTGGACAGTACAGATGTAGAATATTTCTACATATCAGCGCAGAAAGTTCTATTGTACTTCCCTACTTTACATTGTTTTCAATATCCCAAATGTCTGTCAACTTATATTGCATCTAGAGTCAAATACAGAAGAACTACTTACAAGTCAAGTGATTTGGAAATTTATTAAGTATTTAAGGATATTCAGAGAAACAACGTAAGACTACCATACTTCCCAACTTGTTGAATTTTATCCAACCCTACAGGTTCGGTCCAAACCCATTTTCTACGTGAAGCTGCCCCCAACGGACCCTCTACTCCAAGTACGGGTACTTCTATTACTTTGCATCTGGCCGGTCTCATGCCCTCAGTCAGCCTAGAAGTCAAGAACCCCATCTAAATAAAAGCAACTACTATCTTATCAAGCACTTATTATGTGCCAAGCAAGTTTACAAACTTATCTCAGGCAGCGTTCATAAGCACCACACGAAGGCATTTCCCCCTATTGTATAGAGAAAAGTGAGACACGGTGGCACAGCTAATAAGGGGCAGGGTTTCTTGCTCAAAAAGTGAGAAAAACACTAGGTTCAAGTTCAAAAAAAGAAAAAGAAGTCTAAGTTAGGGGCGCCTGAGTGGCTCAGTTGTTAAACATCTGCCTTCGGCTCAGGTCGTGATCCCAGGGTCCTGGCATCAGGCCCCGCGTTCGGGCTCCCTGCTCCCCGGGAAGCCTGCTTCTCCCTCTTCCACTTCCCCTGCTTGTGTTCTCTCTCTTGCTGTGTCTCTCTGTCAAAAAAAAAAAAAAAAAAAAAAAATGTCTAAGTTCATGATTGGACTTTCCTTCAGAGCTGTTATTATTGTGTGCTCTGAGTACACAGGGGAGCAGGGAGGGGAGCAGGGAGGAGAATCCTGTTCTTCTATCAGGTCCAGGTGTTCCAGAAACTCACACACCTGTTTTGTCTGCCAGGCACAGTGCTGGGCACAAAGAACCTGAACAGAAGATGACTGGAGAGTCAAAGGACATAACGTTAAGCTCCTAACAAAGAAGCCAGGCATACTCAGAGTTAGGACAAATATTTAAGTCACACCACAGTGTGTCTTCTAAAGGCCCGAACAAATTTATCAACCTCACCATCCCCCAAATTCAACCGTACCAAAAGCTCTGTTGTGGGTAGAAAGCAAGCTGTGGGCCTACCCACATGTGGCCCTGCATGTGCCCATTTCCCTGACGTGGACCACCTCCCCAAAATAGCGCCTGCGAGGCAGAATGACTGCTCCATTCCCTTCCAAAGGGGTTGTGCTGGTCAACGCTCTCGGCCGCTGGCAAAGCCAGGAGCGCACCAGAAATGCGCACATCACCTTCCCCAAAAGCAAGCTCTTCTGCTGGTGCACAAACACACAAAATGTGCACGGATGTTTCGCTGGAAGATCTAAAGACATTACTGAAACAAAGACACATCATTACAGAATAGGCGTTATATAATTTTTAGGTGATGTTACTTGAATATTCTTCCAAAGACTAGACCAACCACACCCAAATTAGTCCCTGGCCATTTAATCTCTCAGGGCTGAAACAGAGCTGGGTACAGAGATTCCATAATCATTCCCCGAGGATACAAACAAGAAATTTCAGGGCCATGAAACAATCATTTTAAAAACTGTGTCTGTGTAAGGTTTTAAAAAGAAAAATACTCCAGAGGGGACTGACTGCTCAGTCATTAAACACCTAAAATCAGGCAACCCAGCTTTAAATAGCATTAACTTTTTCAGCAGGAATAGAAAAATCTGTTTTCTCCCATGAACAAAATGTATTCTAAACAGGGAAAAAGCCTCAGTACAGAAAAAGCAAGTCTGTCAAGTCTTTTCTCTAGCAAGATAAATGTGCAACTGAATCTCCTGGTCACACCCTATTTATTTAAATTGATGGTCCTGACCTCTGACAGTCATTTATGTTTTGTAAGTGTGTCCCATTTCCAACTTAAACTACATCTGCCTGTTATTAAAATCACATAACTTGATATTAATTGAAATTATATCAATTGTATGTCTTTATGAAATAACCTTAAGTATCTTTTTTTTTTTTTACCTCAAAACTTCATATTATTCCCAATTTTTAACCTACAAATCTGGAGATGGTTCACCTCTAAAGGACATCAGTATCTTGGTCTATTTATTTCTAAAACTAGAATCAAATCAATTTCCTATGTGGCTACACAACTCAATTTTTTTTAAAGTCTAAAAAAATACGTATCAGGCAAGCATGCTTCCAAATAAAAACCACTTTTGATGTTAAGGATAATAACAAAAGTAATTCCTCACTCAGGAGTAAGTGTTTCCAGTAATGTCAACCGTTCTTCACCGAGAGCAGTCCCTGCGTGTGGGGGAGCTTCCCGTACCTTCCACACAGACGCCCCCGGCGCCCCTCGAGGCGGCAGCTCCCCACCGGCAGCCCGCTCCTCTTCCGTGCCGGGGGAACCGGGACCGTCCACAGCCACTTCTTTTCTGAGGCCCGAAGCACCTCACAGTCTGGCTCCCCTCCTGTGACCCCCCACCAGCCCACGGGTCTGCTGCTTCCTTCTGCCCTGAAATGTGGCGACCGCGTAAGAGGCTGTCCCTGGCCCTTCTAAGTGAACCTCTGCCTCTACTCTGGGACCCCAGTCTCGGCAGGGCCATTCCGCGTCAGCCGTATGCCACATATGGCCTGCTCTCCTGAGACACCACCACCTGTGCACATGGCAGGAAATGAACCAGAATCATTAACAAGAACTGCCATGTGCTCGGGTCACCTGTTCTTGGTGTCAGCTCCCACTTCAAATACAAACCTTCACTCTTAATGATCTGCAACTGTTAAGAAGCAGACCTGCATCATCACATCAATACACATAAATCCTACTGAACTAGCAAAGTCCATGTTAAAATTTTAAGAAGTACTCTAGGCCTCCGCCCGTGTTACTATCCACACAGACACGTACATCACGTGTGTGTACGTGAGTGCTGGGAGGAGTCCGATTTCTGAAGAGGCAGCTACTGTGGGTCAGTGGTCACCTCGGGAACAGACCTTTTCCTCACACGGAGACGCTTCCGTTTCCAGAGTGTCGTCATGCCTGCTTTGTCCCTGCAGCTGGGGACAGGAGTGAGGACAGAAGAGGGGCAGGGAGCAGTGACGGAGGCAGAGCCCTAGCCCGCATGGGTGAGACCGGAAGACGCTTCCAGAAGGATGACCACCAGTGTCGAATCAAACAGATTAAGCGTCAAAACTCCGTTAAGCTGTGGACGTGGCCAACAGGCGGTCCCCACTATCCCGGTCAGTCTACCCTCCTGCGGGGAGGAAAGAAGGTGAGCCCAATGTGCTCCGAAGCAGGCAGCTAAGGGGAAAGGGCAGGGCCCTCTCCCTCCCGAAGTGAGGGACCACTGCAATTTGTGAATTTTATGTATTTCTTCAAGTCCCTGCTTTTAAAAAAGCTCTTCACCACACAGCGAGTAGGCTGGACTTCTGAACTCAGATGAACAGTACCCTACTCGATGCTGTTCTTTCTTTTCTGCAAACTGCTTTTCCTCCTCAAGACCGTTGTTTGAGATTTAACCACCTGGCTACATATAACTAAGTCTACACTACACACGCATTAGTTGCTGGGCAATATTCCACTATATCAGTCGTAACTGACCAATCCTGCTGCAGGGCCTTTTAGAAACTACACAGGCCCTGCAAGCGCACACGAGCCAGCCTGTCTCCAGCCACAGCCCGACCTCGCGGCGGGTGCGCGGCTCAGACCCCGTATCGCCAACCTGCTCTCCAACGCGGACGCGCCTCCACTCATCCCGTACTTCAAGGACACCGTTTCCCCAAATCCTCACCAACATCTGGGTTTCTCAAACATTTTGATTTTTGACAATCCAGTCAATGTGATGCTATCTTCCTGTACCTTCGTATTTCTGATTACAAATGCAGTCATTTTTCACATTACCTAGGCAGATCATTTTCCTTTGTACTGCTTGTTTTCCCACCGATTTACACAAGCTGGTGGACATTCTAGATACAAATCCTGAACACCAGATAGACAATCTTTTCCCAGTCTGCTGCTGCTTTTTAAGTTTATTGTCTTGTCATAATATTTAAGTTTTCAGTTTTGACACAGTCCAATTTATTGATTTTTCCCTTCTCCAGGTGTCTTCTGTGCCTAACAAGTCCTTCTCTACCTTGATATTCTCCTTTATTTTGTTCTAAAATAGTTGTGTTTTTCATACTTAATCTTCTGTTCTGGGACTTACTGGAGACAGCTAACAAGGTCGGGCAGGTTGCTGGTATCAGGGGGTTGCAGTTCAACAGCCCTGCAGCGGATACGGCGGAGTGTTTCAGGAGGTCAGAGAGGCTTAACATGGCAGGAGCCTTGATGTTCAGAAGCCTGCGTGAAGACGCGGGGGCTAAGCCTTCAGTGACCCGAGCATGAAACCCACCAAGGATGCAGTCTGCTTGGGATCATCACTTACACCACACATGGTCTCGACTAAGCAGTGGAGAGAATATGCAGCCCCCGCCCCACTTGTGCTTTTCGCTTTCTCTCAAATAAATAAATAAAATCTTTTTTTAAAAATGTTGTTTTAAGCCACAGGATTTTAGACAATTTGTAACACAGCAGTGGAGAACTAAAATAATCTCTCTAGCCTTAACGCAGAATAATGAGATAGAGTCTTCCCGTCTGGGGGCCCAGAATGTGGTCCTGCTGCTGATCTGTGGGATGCAAGGATTCGCTTCTCCCCCGTGTCCTCTCTTCCTCCCACCCCACACCTGAATGAGAAGACAGATAAGGCTGTTAAGGTCTTTATGGAGGATGAGGTATAAATACCAAGAAGAGGTGAAATAAGGAGACAAACTCCTAGACTCAGGGCCTGGGGGAGGGCAGAGTGCTCCAGTCAGGCAGGAGGAAGACGTTCGAGGGGTCTCTTGTACACCAGTGTGCATAAAGGCCATACTGCAACGTGCACATAAGAACTGGGAAGAGGGCAAACCCTCATGTTTTTTTACCACAGTTTTTTAAAAAGTGAACTAAATAAAGTCTGGATCAAGTTCTTGAATAGTAATACTTCCATTTTTAGAAAACACAAGTCATGGATTTGGATGGAGATTTTTTTAAACAATTTTAAATCTATTTTTGTTGAACCTCAGGAGTTTTATTTCACATCTACATCCTATGGCATGACTAAAGCTACTGAGGACACACGGAAACAGCACGTCGACGAGCCATCAAGAGAACCAGCCTTTACGAAGAGTCTGAGTGACAGGCCAGCCTGGCTATACCTGCGGCAAGGAACCAGGTTTCTGTGGCCTAGCCTCATGCGTGACAATTATGTAAGGACAAGGGCATGTGAAGATCACAAAGGCACCTCAATCCAACAGCAGCGTACCAAGCTCCATGCATCGGTGGATGAGTAAAACACAGACCTGCTTTTAGAAGACATGAGTTAAGTCATGGATTTTGATGTGAATTTTTTAACGTCCAATTTTCAAATGATTCCACTCTTAGTTAATCCAGAGAGATGACTGGGCTCGGGTGCTTATCATGGCAACGTACTGTAGGTAACAAGAAGAGTAAGAAAGCACTCATCAGTGACTGTGAGTTAAGGGCTCTGAGACTGTCAGGCTGGGGGAGGGAGGGGGGGAGGAGCATCTGTTTGAAGAGCAACTGCTTCAGGAGAGGAGATGGGCCTTGTCCCAGCACGTGGCAGAGGAAGGAGGAGACGCGTTCCAGAGCCCGGGCCGTGGAAACTAGCTCCCTCCCGGCCGGCACTCAAACACTTCCCAAGTGATGGGGAGATGCAGCCCAGAGAGAGAAGAGCTACAGGAACAAAAGGGGAAATGACTAATAATTTTTAGCACACAACAGGTGGGACTGGGCACTTGCATGCTGGTCTAACAAGTCTGCATTAATATGCATTAATCAGTGTTTCCCAGGAAATGTCCATCTCTGCCCACAGGTGAGCGAAAGGATCCTCCTGATGAGCTCCCAACTGACAACAAAATACTAATTCCTTTATTCAGTTCTTATCAACGAAAGACACACACACTTCAAGGACGATCATTTTTTACACAAAAGCCTGAGCTTAAACAGTAACTACAATGAATCATTCACAAAATTGGTGTATTAATTTTATTTAAAATTCCGCTCTATCAAGGACTCCAGGTGCCACGTGCTCTGCAGCAGCGGAAGCCATCACCACGTAGCTGGCAGACAAGCAACACGTGAGAAGGATGTTCTGTTACTGACTTTCCAATTATTGCTTCCTTACTCTTTAACTGGACGTTCTCAGTTCAGTGTCATCATTCACAGATCATATTTTCAACTAACCTATTCCATACAATGAGGTATTTTGAATCAACATTATTTTCTGCCTCTATCTTTTTGATGAGTGCACTTTACTCTTGGGAAGTATACTTTCAACACACGTGTGTGTTATGTTCCAATATAAACTAACTCTAATCCCACTAGCAAAGGAGAGAATATATAATCCCTTACAAAATTTGTTTGTGGTCCCTCAATAGTATGTATTTTATTTATTTAACTAATTTGCAATATACTGTCAAGGTAAATATAATAAAATTCTTGGTTATTTCTTAAATTTATGAAGTACTACTTATGAGATGAAATCACGTGTACCCTTGGCTTCAGTATCTGCAATTCTCTGTCATTGTCCCAACTCTCTGACTTTGAGACCGTGTGGGTAAGAGATCCCTAGGACATGGTCACATCCACGCAAGAACCCATGCGAAGAGCAGAGTGGACGCCGGGCACAGCGGGGGCATCCAGGACAAGCATCCGGATGAACTACAGGCAGGAAAGCACACAGTCCCAGCAGACTGAGACGTGGTCTGTGAACAACAGTAGGAAGCAAGGACCACGGAGTAGATGGGAGGAAGGGTGAGGGAGGGAAATAAGGACAGGATTATTAACAAAACATAAGCAGCTTAGACACAACAGGCTGGTGGAAAACAGAAATAATTTGAAGACCGCAGGTTGTTGCTATCCTTGGTCGTAACAGAGAGAAGTAAGGTTGACAGCCGGCATTTCTGGTTACTATGAGGAGATCAGAAACCAGGGACATCAAACATGGAAACAGGGCAAGTGGTGGGTAGACTCAGTCTTACTTCTGATTTGCACCTTTGCATTTGATACAGTTCATCATAAAAATAATAAATAAAAATGAAAACAATGTGATGCTAGTTTAGGGATAAGACAGGCCAACTAATAAAACACATTAAGGTCAGAAACAGATCGACACATACCTGGAAATGTAACTTCCTAGTATAACCGACCCTGAGCATCGGTGGTGAAAGAACCTGCCAACAATCGAAGCAGCCAATGGTTGTAGCCTGGGGTGCGGGCAGAGCCTCACACTGCACACCAATCAATTTCAGGGGCTTCAACACATATACCAAAGGCAAAACCATAAAACTTTCACAAGACAAGATGTAATAGGAGCTTTCAGGTGGCAGAGAAAAAGCTGGAACACAAAACATAACTCCGTACAGGAGAGGTCTAATCTGACTGCATTAAAGTTAAGAATCTCTGTTCATCGGGGCTCTGGGTGGCACAGTCAATTGAGCGTGTGATTCTTGACGTCCGCTCAGGTCGTGATCTCAGGGTCATGAGGTTGAGCCCTGTATCGGGCTCCGTGCTCAGCACAGAGCATGCTTGAGACTCTCTCTCCCTCTCCCTCTGCCTCTGCCTCTGCCCCTCCCCTGGCTCAAGTGCACATGCCCTCTCTCTCTCAAAAAAAAAAAGAATCTCTGTTCATCCAGAGATTCCACAAAGAAAGGGAACTGACCAGGATACAAATCCAGAAGCTAACAGAAAAACAGCCCAAGAACAGGAATTTCCCAGGGAAAGGGCCAAACACATGAAATGATAGTCAGCTGGGCCGGCCACACACGTCAGAGCAAGGGCTCACTCCACACCCTTCCAGATGGAAACTTCACAGAGGTCTGGTGGTATCAAATGCAGGGGAGGATCCGGAGTAAATGGAATCCGTTTCCTTGTGAAAAGGAGTATAAATAGATGCAGAATTCTGGAGTGATGTGCACAGACCCTTCACTCAACAATTCCAACCCCACGAACACACCCGGAGGGGCTCTCCCTGCGAACATGCAGCAAGAAATGAGACAGCCACACTCACTCTGTCAGCAAACACAAAGCAAAACACACAGATGAGAAACCTCTCCCCACATCAGAGGATAACTGCAGTCAGAATCAAGAGCAGGACAGTGACTCATCTAATGAGGTCCCGCATGACAGTGACAACAGATGGATACAACCAGACACAACACAAACCAGTTTCAAGAATATAACACTGAGCAATACCAAGTCACAAAGGAATGCATACACTGTAGTCCATGCACACACAGTGCAGCGTCCTACAGCACGCTATTTAGGATATTACAAACTGATGAAATGATGAAGGAAGAACCGTGGTAAACACAGAACTGAGCGTATGAGAAGAGGCTGGGGCAGAAGAGGGGAACACAGGGTAAAACAGGTGGCAGGAACAGGATGCACCATGACCTGTGATCCTTTACATGCTCCATGTCCTAAATAATTTTATCAACCCAACATTTAAGAAGAAAGAAAGAAAGAAAAGAAACCAAATAACTAAAATGTCACACATTTGGTCAGTGGCCCACACCATGTCCCCTTCTATCCTTGACTCCCTACTGGACGTAATAAAAACCTTCGGAGAGATGGTATACAATACAAGGGAAATTTTTCCTATTGGCCCTATTAGTTATGAACAGGGAGATAAAGACCAATGAAAACATGGAAGGTAGGGGTTCCTGGGTGGCTCAGTCGGTGAAGCATCTGCCTTTGGCTCAGGTCATGATCTCAGGGTCCTGGGATCGAGCCCCGCAACAGGCTCCTTCCTTGCGCAGCCGGGAACCCACTTCTCCCTCTCCCTCTGTACTCTCTCTCTCTCTGCCTGTCTCTCAAGTAAATAAAATCTTAAAAAAAAAAAGAAATTAAGAAAGAAGACATGGAAGATAGATGTTTAATGGTCTTGCCAGTTTATTACAAAATATGATCTTCCTTTACAAAAACAACTTAGGAAGTGAAACTTCGTGTCACCCTTTACTATAAGCCGCACTGAAGCAAGTACCATCAGTGAGAAGACAGAGATCACGGCCCCACACTGGCCAGTGAGACAGATATCTAGTGCAAGACGCGGAGTCTAGTGGCGCAGAATGCACGTGGGTCACATGGTTTCTGCTGAGAAAACAACAGACCACTGGACACTCCCACTAAAATCAGGCACTTCAAAAATCCAAATCACACAACTTCCAAAAATGTATATGCCATTTATCACAAGGCAAAAGAGGAGGATTTTAAAATGAACTCACCCTGAAATAATGAAGTTACAGCTGTTGAACAAATGTCACTCAAAAGCAGTCTCTTGGCTTTTTCTTACACAGCGGGCAACTTTCCTTTTGAATTCTCCATTTCTGTCTTCCCTCCATTCTTTCTGTAGATACAAAAGTAACATGAAGTGACTTTATCCAAGCTCTTCTTACAGTCTCAAATACTAGTTTTAATTTTGAATGTAACACTTTGGCATCATGCACACTTTTAAAATGCTGAGAAGTTGTTACGTCAGAAAAGTAGTCAAAAAGTACTTTTGCCAGGCACTCTGCTGGGACACAAGAGCAGAAATCCCTTAACCTGTACGGGCACAATTCTCTTAAAGAAAGAAGTCCATAGGGGCGCCTGGGTGGCTCAGCCGTTAAGCATCTGCCTTCGGCTCAGGTCAGGATCCCAGGGTCCTGGGATCGAGCCCCACATCGGGCTCCCTGCTCGGTGGGAAGCCTGCTTCTCCCTCTCCCACTCCCCCTGCTTGTGTTCCCTCTCTCGCTGTGTCTCTATCAAATAAGTAAATAAAATCTTAAAAAAAAAAAAAGGACAGTTTCATATTACTGGAAAAGGCCTTACAGGTAAGCTATTCAGGCCACGGGAAGGACTGCCGGCTCCCTCTGGAGGCTCCAGAAACTACAGCCAACACAATGGCGAAATTTCTTCTGGAAAACCAAAAGCAGATGGCAGAGAAATGAAACATGGAGCAGAGGAGAGAAGTCTCCCTGGAACCAGAGCAAGGGAGGGACAGGGCCGACCGAACAGAAGGCACAGTTTAGACAGAGTCACTAAGATGCAGGAAGGAAAACAGAGATACAGCCCAGCAGTTTGGCATTTTCCTCCCACCTATGTCCAAAAGTCTAACACTTTCCTGGAAGAGTGATGACCGTTTCGGTACACTGAGAGACACTTATATGAAGAGCTCTCTCGATGTAGGGCCACTAGCGTGGGGCCGAGGATGGAACCGCCTCTCCAGTCTGGAGCTCAGGGTCTGGCTCACTGCCCGCACGCTGGAGTGGAGCTGATGCTATGCGTGTGCACGTGCTTTCCTAGACCTGCATGTCCTATCTGGAGTCATGCATGCACAGCTGTGTAGAAAGCCTACAGGGTTCTGGCACAGACTTCAAAATACAAAAGAAACACAAAAGAAAACACTGGCCTCAGAGAATGACCAGAATTTAACTTTGAAAAATTTAATCAGAACTCGCACAAGGTGGAAGAACTATTAACTTCCTCAAACAGTGACAAGATTTTATGAAAAAGGAAATTAATGCAGAAAAGAACAAGCTACCTAAGATTAAGAGTAATACCGCCAAAATGAGAATTCAGTAGGAACTCCGAATCAGCACAAGTTTAGATGAACCAGAGCACAAGGATCAATCTGGGCCGCAGCTACAAATCCAAATAAGGAAGGGATATACACTCAAATAAAAAATTAAAAAAACCAAGAAGGAAAGAATACTATACATGAGGGAAACTTCCCAGAGCTGAAGTCCTGCAAGTACACGCCAACCACAGGAGTCCCCCCACTACCCCCAGCCGCGGCTACGCTCTCTGTGGGCTCGGTTGCCCACGGCCGATCCTGGTCTGTCCAGGAGCAGACGGTCCCCCTTCTGACATGACACCAGAAGGTCAACAGGAGGCTCAGAGTCACTCGCCCCGCTTCATCTTGTCGTGCGGGCACATGATCCCCTCACAAGGACGGCGAGCACAGGACACTGAGGTACTGAGAGCCCCACAGCACACGACTCTTATTGCAGTGTACTGTTACAACTGCCCTCTTCTATTATTAGTTGTCGCTGTAATTCTCTCACTGAGCCCGTAAGCTGGACTTTATCATGTGTATGTACATACAGGAAGAAACCTGATGCACACAGGGTTCGGTACTGATCCCCGGTTCTAGGCATCTGCTGGGGGACTTGGTAACACGCCACTGGTGAAGAAGGGGGAGTACTGTCCAGAAGTGAAAAATCTTAAACTCTACACAGCAACGTGAAATTCCGAAGACCAAGAATCAGAGAAGAACCTGAAGGGAACGGGGAAAACAGAGGAAGAAAGAAAAGGTCACCCACAAACACAGAAGAGTCAGCCATGCACCAACTTCCTCATCGGCAACAATAAATGCGAAAAGATAAATTCTGCAGAAATCTGCATTCCTCCCCCAGAATTCTACAAACTGTCACTTAAGTATGAGGGTAGGATAAAAACCCTCCGAGACAGGTAAGGACCCGGGTCTTAATTCCTACATAGCCTTCCTGAAACATGACTCTCAGATGAGGTACAACAACGGGAAGAAGTCAACCAAGAAAAAAGAAAGAGGATCCAGGAAACAGATAATCCCATTCAGAAGAGCAGGAAGGGGAAGTCCAAGGAAGAGAGACATGCAGCAGTCTGAGCCAACCTAATCCGGAGCCCAAGGATGGAGGGGTCCAGGAGAGGGATGTCCAAGAAAAATGGGGGTCTCCTGGAATAGCTATCACTGACTGAGAGGTCAGAAAAGCAAACAAACAGAACACCTATGAAAACATGGCAAGGTGTACAATGCGAGAGGGAAGAGCAGATGTGAAAGGTAAATGCAACCATGTGCAACCTGTGGCTTAAATAGGAGACAACTGGTTAAATCAGCAAGAGCAGCAGTGGATTTCGAGCAGTAATCAGAATGACGATGCACGGCCCGTGGTGTGCAGATCTGAGTCCCATCTGCATAGTTCAGCTTCAAGCAGCATCAGGCAAGGGCTGCCCTTTCTCAGGAGTCCTTGTGGTGCCAGGACTCAGCTGCTCTGAAGAGTTAATAACTTCTGCATATTCATACTTTAGGTACTTGCTCTTAATTTATCCTTAATTTTAACCTTTATGAAGATTAAGATACAATTTGTCAGTTCTGATCTTATTAGAGAGAGTTATAGTTGAGCATGAATCAAAATAAACAAGAATTAGTTCTCCCTCAAAATGATTCCACAGGATTTCTTCTCCCCTCCCGCCTCTTAAGAGTTCTCGGACTGACACTCGACTAAATAAAAAGCTAGGATGGTTTTCTGTCAATTTTTTACTTCAACTTGATCACTAAATATAAAAATGCAAAGGCATACATTTGAAAAAGGTTTATCAAAGTAGTGTTTTTCTACATAGACTATATACTCTCACCCAAGTTTTTGTATTAGTTACCTATATAAAAGTTACCCAAATAGAAAAGTGAATTTAATCTCCTGGCTTTGATATGCAACTAACAAAAGTTCTAAGAATAAGAATTACAATGAAAGGCTTTTCAAAGGAGAAGAGAAGGCTGAGGAACACTAGACTACTACCCAGAGTAAAGGAGACTAATAAAACATGAATACAAAATAAAATGTGGGTTCCCAGATTCTGGATTTAAAAAAAAAAAAAAAAGCAGGTATGAGGAACAATACTGGAGAAATCTGAGTATGGGCTTAGTATGCATGGACCAGTACTGAATCAATGACAGACTTGTGCTGTGGGTATGAGAAAGGGTGCTCTTGTTCTTAGGAGAGGCCACTGAAGTGTTTACACGTGGAGAGTCAGGGCATCGATAAAGACTTCTCAAATAGTTTAGGGGGGAAATGTAAAATCTCCACAACTGGTGAATCTAGGTGAAGCGTGTTTATAGCTATGGAAGACGGGGTCCTTATTCTTCAAAGAGGCAGGTTCAAGTATTTAGGAGTAAAGCTTAGTTATGTCTGTAACTCATTTTTGTACAGATTCAGGAGAAACATAAATGTATACAAATTGATCTGTAGACACACACACACGCACGCACACACATGCTGTCGTTCTAACCAAGTGTGACTGAAGGGGAGGGGACATCTGCACATGAGGGCCTTACCGCAGCATCAACGTTAGCAGGTGAGTCTCCGTTAGGGTCCGCCAGCATTGAAATGACACTAATCATGATGGTTTCCACAGTGTGAATAGGGAGCCAGCGCTCCTCTGGCTTTTCATAACCATATTTATCTTCCCCAGGCTCATGGAGAATGGAAATGCATACATCACCATTTTTATCAACTGCAAAATTAGAGAGTAAGAGTCCTGTTTAAAGTATTTAAAATAACATGGTTAAACATAAAGTGCCTATTATGGATGTGGCCCTGGCTCCCACGGTCCTTTATCAAAGACTGAATATATACAGAAGATGATTTCCAAAAATGGAACCTGTTCACTTTTTAGGAAGACCACAGATTTTACCAAACAGGACCCATCTGTCAGAGCCAAGAGACTCTCCTCCATTTGTGCAGAACTTCAAGATACCTGGCACTTAGATAGATGGTGTCTAGCATTTTACACGCAGTAAACACAATGAATCTGCTCTTTGTTTGTATATAAAGTATACGATCCAAATACCAGAACTGAGTCTCTATGTAATGATTTCCTAGATTCCTCACTAACTTGCTGATCTAAATTGGTGACAGTCAAACATCCAGAGACTCTCCTAAGAAAAAAATAAGAAGTAACCTCTTAATGCACTTTTTAAATCACATAAAGGCAAAATTACATTTTCAGGAAAAGGAGTGCACCCAAATTTACAAAAGGAGCATGTCATATTGCCCGTGAAAATTCATCAACATTAAATGACAGTCATGAGGCATCTTTTCTATAAAACCAGGATTTAAAATCCAAGTCACAAATTAGTTGTTGATCAAAACAAAGGTGAACTTCGAACCCACCAGCTCATTTATATCACACAAATACTCCTTATTGGTGAAACTACCAAAATCATCACTAATCTTTTATGGTGAAGTTTTTTTCTCCACTGCAAAATACAAAATAATAATAGTAAAATATACTTATTTGGAAAATGTTAGAAAAGACAGAAAAATATAAGAATTTTCAGTGTAGGGGCGCCTGGGTGGCTCAGATGGTTAAGTGTCTGCCTTCAGCTCAGGTCATGATCCCGGGGTCCTGGGATCGAGCCCCGCATTGGGCTCCCTGCTCAGCAGGAAGCCTGCTTCTCCCTCTCCCACTCCCCCTGCTTGTGTTCCCTCTCTCGCTGTGTCTCTCTCTGTCAAATAAATAAATAAATAATCTTAAAAAAAAAAAAAAAAGAATTTTCGGTGTAAAGTCTTTCAACCAAATGTCCAAATCCTATCAAAAAAAAAAAAAAAATCAATGGCAATGTCTACTTCATTCCTAACTTCCTAAGTCTAACAGATTTTTTTAAAGATCTTATTTATTTATTTGAGAGAGAGAGACAGTGAGAGCACAAGCAGGGGGAGCAGCAGAGGGAGAAGCAGGCTCCCCGTGGAGCTCCATCCCAGGACTCTGGGATCATGACCTCAGCTGAAAGCAGACGCTTAAATGACTGAGCCACCCAGGCGCCCCCAGATTTGTGACTGGTGTAATTCTCAAGGTTACTTTTCGTCTCCTGACTTGGGCACCTCCCCTGTTGTTAAAAACTCCGGGGAAGCCGCGCGGGAGTCTACACATACTGCTGCTCTCCAGCAAACCCTTCCCGAATGCGTGCTGTGCACATGGGTGTACAAGCGCGCTCATGTCCCAGGCCCCCACACCTCCTGGTAAAATCTGCTGGGTGCAGTAACTAGATCTAGAGGCAGGAAAAGTAACAACAAACTGTAAGCACACTGCAGAGTTCAACACAAAATGCTTTTACCATCTTCTTTAGATAATTTCCTCACGCATTACATTAAAAGGATTTTTTCCAAGTCGTTTTCTTTGAAAACATGGTATTAAATGTTTCTATAAAACTCTATCAGAGAGAATCAATTTAAGATCCATTTTCCTTTTTTGGAAATTACTGTTATAATCCAGCATCTTTAAATTTTTAACCTCAAGTCCTTTCATTTTAAACATAATTTTCTTAAATGAAAGGTTTTTAGGTTTCTGACCTATTACCAAATTACAGTTTATAATGTGAAATACAGGTTGGACACCTGGGTGGCTCAGTGGGTTAAGCATCCGACTCTTGGTTTCAGCTCAGGTTATGATCTCAGGGTTGTGAGATCGAGCCCTGTGTTGGGCTCCGTGCACAGTGGGGACTCGGCTAGAGATTCTCTCCCTCTCTCACTAAAATAAATAAATAAATCTTTAAATTAAAAAGGTGAAAAATAATCTGGTTTTTCCTAAATGCTTTTGGGGGTGAAATTTCTCCAGGTATAGAAAATACACGTATTTCCTCTGGTGCAATGTCCATTCTTACTCTTTACTCATTTATACACTCAAATGTCTAGTTTTTTCTTGCCAAATTACTTCCTTAGTTTTCCCCACGTAAATTTTTCCTCTCACTTTCACGGCCCAACAGTGATCTTCGCTGCCACCCTCACTGACATGAGGTTCATTTATAAACCTTATTCTGCATTCAGTTGCACCATTTATCTTCACTCTGTTTAGTCTTTCAGGATGGGTTATGTGTGAAACTAGAAAATTCTTGCCCCCAACACCCAGCAAATAACTAATACTATTTTTTAAAGCCACTTGAAACTGTTTACTCCATTTGGAGTTTTAATCCCCTTTTCTAAATCCACTCCCCCATACACAGCTAGCCACCAGCCTCGGCCTTGACTACCCAAACCACATGTACCCTCCCAGTTACCCCCTCCCTGGAAGCTGTGTGTCTCAAGTGACAGAAGCCCGACTGACCCCCCTCCCCACCCTCTCCACATGCCCACAAAGTGGGTTCTCTCTCCCTCTCCTCACTGGAAAGTGGCTTCTGCTCCCTGTCAGGATGCCACGACTGCTCACAAAATGGTCTGAACAACCTTCTCCCGGGTGCTTTTAAAGTCCCCCTTTCTGGGTCACAATGAGGGACACTGTCGAGGACAGCTCCCTCGGCCTCCGTGACACACTTCTTCACTGGCTCTTGAGCCGATCTCTCACCTTCCAGTCTTCCTTCGTCTGACGTGAGACATTACATGATGTCACCCCACTCTCTGGCATTAGCCATCTCTTCTGCGGGGAAATTAACTCACTCTTCCCATCACAATGTTCCCATCCCCTCTGTCCCCCCACTTTTGCTGAGCTGTAACTGACAGAGAACATGGTGTAAGGTGAGGTGCGGCACACGGTGATTTCATACACGCTCCCGCTCACCTTGATGCGGATCAACACCAAGGCCCTACACTCCCCTTTATCTACCTAAGTGGAAATGGCAAGTACACCTCAAGAGAAACAAATCCAAAATGGAATGCATCTAAGCCACACAAAGCGAATTTTTACCTCAGAACAGCATCTCTAACAGCTTTACTGAGACGGAGGTGCCCCATTAACGGCTTCCCGCATGTTTACAGGGTTGTAAGCCGTCACCACAATCGATTTCAGAATACACGCGTCACCCCAGAAAGAAACCACATACGCATTAGCAATCACTCCCCATGCCCCACAACCCTCCCCCGAGCCTGAGGCGAGCACGGACCTGACCTTCTATCCCTAGGTTTGCCGATTCTGACAGTCCAACCCAAACGGAGTCCTACACGGCGTGGGCTTCTGTCACTGGCTTCGCTCCCCAAGTGTCATGTTTTCAAGGCTCATCCTGTCGGTGACGTGCGCCGGGCTGCCCTCCATAATGTGTTTATGTTAAGAGCGGGTGTTCTCCTCATCAAATGATGGACACTGGAGCTGCTTCTACTGTTTGGCCATTTGAACGCTGCTGATAGGAACATTCAAGGACAAGTGTCTGTGGACGTGTTTTCAACGTTCTTGCTTTTCTATCTCGGAACGGAACGGCTAGACTCGTTCCCCACAGTGGCTGCACCGCTTTACAATCTCTCCAGGAGTACAGGAGGGCTCTAATTCGTGTGTCCTCGCCAACACTTGTTATCATCTGCCTTTCTGATGACAGCCACCCTGGCCCGTGTAAAGTGGTGTTTTGCTGTGGTTTTGATTCTGCAATTGTTTTGTGGATGTTCCGTCAATTCTAAATTCTTCTCTCATCACCGCCATCCACATCTGCTAGTCCAAAATTAGAGTAACTCAATCTCCCTTCCTGCTAGGACTCTCCGTTCAAGCTTCCATGGCCTCTTACCCGCAGCACTGACAAAACTGAACAACCTTCTCCTGGCTGTCCCTTCCAATCTTTCCTCCGTGGGTGTAATCTCTCCAGAAGGAGACACAGTCAACGTGAAGCTACCACACAGCTTCAAAGTGCCAGAATTTAATGAGAAACCGCAGCCTAAGGAACAAAGTTTAAGCCAGGCGTTCACACAGTCAAAATTCTGTGTAAGAATCACATTCTCTAGAAAGTACTCCCTGACCCTCTCTTCCACTACCCAACACCATGTGGCAGCGACACTGGTCCTCTCAACGTCACCGTGACGTCTGCGTGTCCGTTCTCCCCCCTCGCAGGCCTGGACACCCTCACAGGAAGGGACCGTGACTGACGAATCATCTTCACCTCCACTGCCTTGCAGACACTCCCGGCTGGGTTTTCCGTTCGTCCCATGTCTTCGCACGCCTCCTGAGTCCCGCTCTCCGTGTGTCTGCCATCCCCACCCCACCACCTCCTCAGGTTCCCCTCCTTCACAAAGCACCTCCTCTCTCCAGTCAAGTCTTCATTATTTCACTGATGCCTCTCCCCTCATGGCCTGAAAAATGATTCAACCTTCAAACAAATCCTCATTTCATCAGCTGTCCTCTTAAACCACCTGGGCCACTTTTCTCCTTCCTCCCCAAAGAAGAGAAGTCCCACGTGTTGCCCACATACGTGCTCTCACAGAGAAACTGAGGCCCAGAGAGGCTCCACCTACAATCACATAGCTAACGTGTGGTGACGCCAACACTCAGAAGCTCTGTTACATCTTCTTTTGAAATAGGTGCAATTCGGGCGCCTGGGTGGTTCAGTTGGTTAAGCGACTGCCTTCGGCTCAGGTCATGATCCTGGAGTCCCGGGATCGAGTCCCGCATCAGGCTCCCTGCTCGGCAGGGAGCCTGCTTCTCCCTCTGACCTTCCTCCCTCTCATGTGCTCTCTGTCTCTCTCATTCTCTCTGTCTCAGATATATAAATAAAATCTTAAAAAAAAAAAAAAAAAGAAATAGGTGCAATTCAAATAACTCAAGTGACGGGTAAGAGAAACTGCCAAAGCCTAGGAAGAGAGGAAACAAAGAGCAAAGCAAGAAGAGGCGGATGTGGTAGATTCAGGCATCCGTGCTCCATGGAGGACTATCGTTCATACATTCTACCACAGACAGACTGTTAAGAGATATTTCTCTCCGGGTGCCTGGGTGGCTCAGTCGGTTGAGCGACTGCCTTCGGCTCGGGTCATGATCCTGGAGTCCGGGGATCGAGTCCCGCATCTGGCTCCCTGCTCAGCGGGGAGCCTGCTTCTCCCTCTGACCCCCCCCCCATGTGCTCTCTCTCATTCTCTCTCTCTCAAATAAACAAAATCATGGGGCGCCTGGGTGGCTCAGTTGGTTAAGCGACTGCCTTCGGCTCAGGTCATGATCCTGGAGTCCCGGGATCGAGTCCCGCATCGGACTCCCTGCTCGGCGGGGAGTCTGCTTCTCCCTCTGACCCTCCCCCCTCTCATGCTCTATCTCATTCTCTCTCTCAAATAAATAAATAAATAAAAGTCTTTTTAAAAAAATTAAAAAAGAGGTATTTCTCTCCCTCGGCACTGATACAAGGGAGCACAAGTACAAGTATGGGGCCAGTTTCAGTCTCTCGAGACCTGTCCATTTCTCAAGCCACTGGGCTCTAATATATTCTCCACACCCTTGTAATAAAGCCTCCATTCATTCATTCACTCACTCACTCACCCACTCCTCTCTCACAGACTTTTGCTCAGACTGATACAAGAGCCTCTCTCCCTGGCAATGCAAAGTTGACTATGAGAAGCAGGATGCAGAACAGTGCAGGAGTCAAAAAACGACAACTCTGATTACAAAATACTGACAGTCAAAATACTTCGGAAAGAAATGCCTGCAAGCTCTATCACAAAGAACAAGGCCAAAAGTTCAGGGAGACTGTGTATAAACACAGTTTATCTGGCCTAACCTTTGACTCAAAGTGGATTTTAAATGGTAGCACATCTTTGGGTAAAAAAAAATTCAGCGTCGCCACATTTCAGGCACAGCAGGACTGGATGCTTTCCAAAGCTTCAAACACAAAGTCCAGCATCTAATGTGTCCCTGTCAGTCACCTTATGAGGCAGGCAGGACACTCCCTTTTAACAGCTAATATAGGTAAAAAGTTAAGAGCTGCCCACGGTCTAAGAGTGAAGATGAGAAATACCTATTTTTAAAACCAGGTTTAATTACTCCTATACTCTCTGTAGTAGACAATGAGTCACCTAATACCTTGGAAATTATCTCAACTGTAAGAGCTGCATTCATGGCAAGTATCACCCAATAGCCTTACCTCTAGTTTGGAACATCAGGAGTCTCAAAAGAGATGAAATCTAAGTAAATAAATATTTTTTATATGATGTCTATTCCTGCTGTTCTAAACAAGCTAATACAAGACCAAGTGCATAATGAACACAGTGAACTTAGTACAAAAATCCCAAAGTAACTTCACTGAGAACTACATCTTTCTTATGGGCCCTGAAAACCTCAGTGACAGGCATCATATTAGCAAATGTAAAAGTAAAACTAGATAAACTTACCATTTGGGTGCCAGATTTCTGTAATGAATTTCATTTTAGGAGGCCGGAGGGGATAATCTTTTGGGAAAGTGAGATGAGCCTTAAAAACACCACCTTCACTGGAAGAAAAACAAAAACATGTTCTTGCCTGTAAATTCCTACATATTGACAATTATTAAAACAAACAAAGCAAGGGTGCTAGCGCTCACACCATAAATGAAGTGAATTAACAGCCTGGGTCTCAAGCAGATCATTGACATACTCACTTTAATAGACTGGCAACACCTACGACCTTACCGAACTCCCGCGAAGTAGGAAATGAAAGAAACGGCCAGCCTTAAACCGGCATCCGTATCAGGCCACGTGACTGTTGTGCTAACAACCTGTATCCCTTCCCATGGCACTAATCCAAGTCCAGAGGCTAACTGCCCGTCAGCTCTCCATGTGGCTCTCCGACTATCACCCTTCCCTCCATTCCAGCCCGTCTTCTTTCTGTTCTGCAAGCACAGTAAGCTCTTTCTCACTCAGAACTTACACATAATTTGTTTGCTCCCTGTGTGGAAAGATGTGCTGACCTTCCAATCGTCCATTCATCTCATCATTTAACAAATACTTCTTCAGCCTTTACATGCCAGACACTGGCAGTGAACAAGGTATAAAGTCTCTCCAGGAGTTTACATTCCAGCAACTTTCCAAAGCAGTGCCGTCCAATACAGCTTTCTGCACACTGGAGATGTTCTACAGGCAGACTGTCCAAGATGGTAGCCACTAGGCCCCTGAAATATGGCTGGTGCAACTGAGGAACTGAGTTTTTTATTTTTTTTTTAAAGATTTATTTATTTATTTGAGAGAGCAAGCACGCAAGGGGAGGGGCAGGGTAGAGGGAGGGAGACATTCTCAAGCAGACTCCCCACTGAGCACAGAGCCCGACGTGGGTCTCGATCTCATGACCCTGAGATCATGACCTGAGCCTAAACCAAGAGCCAGTCACTCAACGGACTGAGCCACCCAGGTGCCCCTGAATTTTTAATTTTATTTAATTTAACAGCATATATGGCCAGTAACTGCTTTATTAGTGCAGTCTTAGATCAGTGCCATTTACTTAGGAACTGTTCTTGAAGAACTGTCAAAACAGTACAATGAATTGTACTATGTTAACAACAAAAACCAATGAGATCAAGTCAGCCTCATGGGGCATATAACTAAGTTCATGCATTAGGTCGTTAGTACTAGTCATTTCCTGTGCTTGAAATACCCTTCTCCTCTTGTCATCTTTTAGAACTCAGCTTTGGGGCGCCTGGGTGGCTCAGTCGGTGAAGCGTCTGCCTTAGGACCAGGTCATGATCTCGGGGTCCTGGGGTTGAGCCCCGCATCGGGCTCCCTGCTCAGCGGGGAGTCTGCTTCTCCCTCTCCCGCTGCCCCTCCCCTGCTCATGCTCACTCGCTCACTTGTATAAATAAATAAGATCTTAAAAAAAAAGGGGGGGGCGCCTGGGTGGCTCAGATGGTTGAGCGTCTGCCTTCGGCTCAGGTCATGATCCCAGAGTCCTGGGATCGAGTCCCGCATCGGGCTCCCTGCTCCGCAGGAAGTCTGCTTCTCCCTCTGCCTCTCTCTCTCTCTCTGTCTCTCATGAATAAATAAATAAAATCTTTTAAAAAAAAACCTAGCTTCAACGTTACCTCTTGAGACTTCCCTTGACTCCCCAATCTTAACTCTCCGCTGTGTCCCTCTGTCACACTGACCTTTCATTTCTTTATTCCAACATCTATTTGCACATCTGATTCTTTTACTGTTCAGTATACACTCCATCAGAGCAGGGTCACGTGCTGATGTTTGTGTCAGGCCAGCGAGAAATGTAATTCTCAGCTCCTTAAATGGTTTTCATTCACTGAACAAATATACATTGATTACCTACTTGTGTGAGGCACTGTTTTACGTAAAATAATCAAACAGAAAACATTAGAGATCACTGGTTTCACAAGCACTTACCATTTTGGTGGCAGAAGAAACTATCAAGCAAAATATCACTAATAGCTACTGAAATGATATGAGCAATCTAATATTAAATTTTTAAAAAACCAAGTATCTATAGAATAAGCCCATCTGTCCTTAAGAAGGAAAAATGGGGGTATGCTTCTATACAGACAGAAAACCTTTTGCAAATGCAGCCCCAGTACATAGCAGTGGTTAACTCTGGAGCCAGGATTACGGGGATCTTTTCCTTTCTGCTTTGTACATTTCAATATAGACTGAATTTTTAACCACAAGCAAGTATTAATTTTTATTGCCTTTTTCTGATCATAAAGGATTTGGGCGGGGGGGGGGGAGGGCGGGGACTTAAAAACAGAGAGGCAGGGCGCCTGGGTGGCTCAGATGGTTAAGCGTCTGCCTTCGGCTCAGGTCATGATCTCAGGGTCCTGGGATCGAGCCCCACATCGGGCTCCCTGCTCCTTGGGAGCCTGCTTCTCCCTCTGCCTCTCTCTCTCTCTGTCTCTCATGAATAAATAAATAAAAAATCTTAATAAAAAAAAAAAAAACAGAGAGGCAGATCATTAACACCAAATACCTCTGAATACCTAGGGAAGACCAATGGGCTCCCAGCACACAGGGTAACTGTGGTAACACAATTGTGGTAAAAGCAGCAGGAGAAGGCCACACAGGGTGAAAGAGAGAATGGAGTGGTCAAGGACAAGCATGATGAGCAGAACAATTTAAAAAGTCTGACAGTTAAAGAACAGGATAATTAGATGGGGAAACAGCACAAATACAAGGCTTTAAAAAGGAAGGGAAAAAAAAAATACCCTAATTTGTTTACAAGGAGATGGGAAGGTGCTGGTAGAAAGACTAGAGACACCAGAAAAAGAACTGAGCCATTGGAAGAAGAAAGAAAGTAAGGGGAGCGAGGGGCCTCGCCAAGAAAAAGAAAGAACATCTTTTCCTTTTGCACTGGAAGAAAAACAGACTGAATGTGGTACAGATATCCAGGGGTAAAAAGGAAGAAAAATGACAAGTTTCATGCCTGCCATATGGCCTCCATTTCGTAACTTACAGAATGATTTACTGAAGAGGAAAACCTGGAGACTTGAGCGAGACCGCTGGGAAGGACACACCACACTGGCGGGCACCTTCTTGCCCCGGCTACCCCAACTGTGCGGGTTAATGCCACAGTGGCCCTGGGACCGTTAATTGTACGGACTCGCTTTTCAAACTGGGGGTGACTCACTAACCAGTTTTCTTGTTTAACAAATAAGAATCGAGTAGAAAACAAGGCACTTCTCACAGGTAGTCTCTTTGACTTATGTAATCTGCATGCATGTTTCTACTCACTAAAATGTATGCACATAGTCTACATCAGGTCAGGATGCAGAACACTTCTGATGATGGGCTGTGGTGGAAAAAAGCCACAAACACAGAAAACAGCTAAGAAGCTATGTAAAAGGACATCAGAAGAGCTGCCACAGGCCCTCGCACGTCACCTGCTGGTAATGCTGCTCCTCGGTTGGAAGCAGCCTCCCTGGGTCCCTTCATCATCTCGACGGATTTGATCCACCTCGTATTAGCTGACTGGAATCCCTGTCCTCAAAAATTGCCTCCATCTCTTAAATTATTTTCAATCTTTAAAGCATCAAATTTTATTAACAGAATTATCTCAAAGGGTTTAAAGCACACAATTTTCACTCTGTCTACAGCGCCCTCCCCACTCTGAACCAATCACTTTATTCCGTACAGTTTTTCTCCTATGGTGGACTCCTTGACATCTCTTTCACCTGGGGAATCCTACCTGTTTTTTTAAACCAAGCTCAGTGGTCCCAACTTGTGGGTGCAAGCTTCCAGTGAACAGCCAAATTAGCAAAGATGAGTGCAAAACCCCCAGGATATGAACTACTGTAAACTAAACATTAATATGTCACATATTCACTATTTTTCAAATATGCAAAGATGTTACTGTGATGAGTAAAATGACAGTTTATAATAAAAATAAAATAAAAATCTGTGAATTAAAAATATCTTCCACTACTTCCACTATTCTCTTCATCACACACAATACTAATAGTCCAATTATCAGCATGATGTTAAAAGGAGGTGTGAAACCAAAAGTTTCACATTTGAAAAGGTTGAGAAACCTAAGCCTAGTTCAACTTTCTTCCATGAGCCTCACTTACTGTTTCTGTATTAAACTGCAAAAATATTACAAGGACCAGAGCCTATCATTCCATTTTGTCAGATCCTACCATTCTGCCGTATTTACTTTATCTAAGTGACACATTGTATGCTGCCGTCTCAAACTGTGCTCAACATTGTTCTTTTAAAAATATTCCTGGTGAGGGGCGCCTGGGTGGCTCAGTCGTTAAGCGTCTGCCTTCGGCTCAGGTCATGATCCTGGGATCCTGGGATCGAGCCCCGCATCGGGCTCCCTGCCCCTCGGGAAGCCTGCTTCTCCCTCTCCACTCTCCCTGCTTGTGTTCCCTCTCTCTCTGTCAAATAAATAAATAAAATCTTTAAAAAAAAATTATAAAAAAAAAAAAAATTCCTGGTGATACCTGTTTCTTGTCCATTCATTTTATCTGACGCATTTCACAATTTATTTATCACACTCGTAAGATATTTGATTGCTTCCCATTTCTTTGCTACTACATGCAACAGAACACTGAACATCCCAAACACTTCCTGGCACAGGGTTTCTACCCTAAAGGCAAAACTGCTAAGACAGAGTTTAAGTAATTGGTCGAAGTCACACAGCTAATACAAGTGGCAGAGTTGGGGAGCTGCGCAAAGGCCCCAGAGCCCATGTTCTGAAGCACTGAACGGGAAGGGATGTGGCCTGGCTGCCAAGGCATCACTTGCCAAGCAATGGCGGTACAAGGTTCCTTCCTTCCAAATTCTCGTTACAGAATATATGGCGTAGAACTGTAAAAGGATTTTGTTACTGTAAAGTAATATTAACCAGAGTTTGGTTAACCGACTCTACATGTTCTGCATCCACCCAAGGAAAAAGGCAAAACAATAAAACGCATGTAATCTTAACATTCTCCGTATTTTCCACACCCTTGTCAGTGGTAAGGAATAAAATAAACCGTACTTCCTGGGCAGACTAGCCATTGATGACGGAAGAAAAATTTACGGGATAAAAGAAGGTGCACATTCACCATTCACTGACACGAATTTATAAAATTTGTAATTACATGGTGATATCCGAGGCTCCAGAGCTTCCTTGAAAAACGTGCTGCCACTCTTGCCTGAAAAGTCTACTTCTGTGGACACTACCTGATAATCGGCGAGCTGAACACAGCAGGTACACACAGCAGTTTCAGCTCTCACAGAAAGACAGCCTAGAGAATCTATTCTTAACGGACGAACGGGCAGAGGAGTAATACACATTTAATGCCATGTAAAGGTGAATAAAATGGCTACATTCGTACTCAGGCACCGCTCAGTCCTCGAGCAAGCTGGAATACGCTGGTTACTGATTACCTAAACTGAAGAGGGTACAGTGCCCTCTAGTGACTACAGGAACGCCAAGGATGTCACAGGAAGGAACACAACAGCTTTTCGGGAACGTTTGTACATTATTAATTCTTGCTATCACTACATAAATGATCGAACTCTTAAGCGGTGAATTAATCAGTTAGGACATCAGAAGAGCTGCCACAGGCCCTCGCACGTCACCTGCTGGTAATGCTGCTCCTCGGTTGGAAGCAGCCTCCCTGGGTCCCTTCATCATCTCGACGGATTTGATCCACCTCGTATTTGCTGACTGGAATCCCTGTCCTCAAAAATTGGGTGCCATCTAAGCCCACATTAACTTCCACTTACTTCTAACCCCAACCCCCCCCCGGGCAGGGATTTACACTTGAGGTCTGCGCACCCACACCCAGCAGACCCCCCCAACAACTGCAACATGGCCTCTACCCTCTTCACACCAGTAATATCCTTACTGTTAAAGCAACACACACCATGAAATACTGGATTCACCATGAAACAGGGAGCTTACTTCTAATCACACTTTCCTCCCTTCCCTCCTCAGGGACCCGCGCTCGGGCACACTCTCGTCCTCTACCCCGAGCAAAGGCTGCGTGTGCGACTCCGTCCTGCAGGTCGCCATGCTCAGCCCCCAGCTCCCAGCCCATCTTTTTCACTATAGACAAGCTTTTAGAATAACACTGTTACGAACAAATTTTTGTTGCAGAGATAAAACGCAAGTAAGCTGAAGGAAAATGAAATCCATAATCCCAAAGTTAGGATACGCAGGTTATAAAATAGAAACCTAACTGGTGACTCCTGTCCTCAATGGTTGTGAAGACAAATCCAAACTCTTCAACAGTGTTTATGAACTTCAAGTAACCCTCCACTCCCTGTTCAGCCTCATTTTCTGACCTCCCGTGTGCTCACCTCACTCCACCACCACATCATGGAGCCGTCCCATTTTCTGGGCCCCACAACCCAGAGTTCCCCTCGGAAATGCTGAAGCTCTGTCATTAACCCCGCCCCCCGGTCTCTGCCAGAACACCTGTCCGGTTAACGCTGACCCTAGCTGCGAACAGCCCCAAATCTCTTCCATTCCAGAAGAACTAATCTAAACCACCTGTGGCCACCTCATTCATCTTACCAGTTGCTGGGTGGGAACGAGCTAGTGACTCAATTCTGACACAGGAGACAAGAGCCAGTCAGCCAGAGAGCTCCCATTGCATACAACACACACACAACTAAGAAGAAACCAGCCTCTCTTCTTCCTTTGGGTGATCTTCTGAAACACTCAAAACTCCTGTAACCATTTTGCTACCAGTGCCAGGACAACATACTTTCTTATTCTCTAAGCCAACTACAATCAGATTTCTGTTGCTTGTAGCCAGAAGTCTACTAACTACTACACTAACTCTTAAGTTCCCATTTTAGATAGGTCTTCCTCTGGGACAAGTTCTGGTACGTCCCAAACCTGCCACACCCCCAGTGAGCGCCTTTCTCCACCATGGCCATCACCAATCAAGCGACCACGTGGTGACTAAAGTGTAACCTCTCTGTAGGCAAGGACAACACTGAGCTAATCCGAGGTCCTGTTCCCCGCATCTAACGTAAGACCGCTTGGAAACAGCTGAGCTAGATGAATGAGCAATGTAAATGCCAGTGTAATGCTTTATTTTTGCAACCATTCTAAGCAGGAAACTGCCCAAGGGATGGCTTAGACTCAGTAAATATTAAAGAATAAATCTTAAACCTCTTTGAGGGCTTAAAAAAAAATCCCATAACTTTCACACGTGAATTTTAGAGAAGATTTTAACAAGAAGGAACCATTTCCAGGTTATTCTGGATGGTGATTACAATGTCTGTCACTGCCACGAGGCCTCATTACTCACAGGATGCGCCCCGTGTGTGGCAGAGTTTAACTACAGCCCAGCTGTCCCATCAGGAAGGACTGCAAGTGGCCACCAGCTGTCTCCTCAGGAAGTCCACACTCCAGAGGAGCTGCCACAAAGGCTTGCTTCTGCTACCCACATCTCACACCAGCAGCTAGCATTTTTTAAACACACACTGAAGGCCAGAAGTAAGTTTTTAATTGGTGGAAAGAATGGACTAATAATCAGTATGGTGAGTATTAAAAAGTGCTTGTCTTTGGTGAAGCTGAAGGTACACATTAAATACAGGTACCAGCTAATAGTCTTTAGAGATACGTGCCACCACCGCACAAGAAAGTGTGAGAGTTCTGTGAGGTCCTTAGAGACAGAGCTCAGGCCTGGAAGCCCAACTCATCCTCTAGACAGACACCAGTTCAGAAGAATTCCTCCTGTTACCTCCTATCAACTGTAGGAGTAACAAGATTGTATCACTGGAATGTCGCCGTGTCTCCCAAATAAAACTTCGTGCAATGCGTTTAGCTTGGAAAACCTGAACTTCATCAGGCTTATAAACCAGGTTATATGTATGGTTTTACGTGCAAAATTTAGTAAGAAATTTGCTTCCAAGTAATTAAGGTTGTGGGGGGATACCTCAAAGATGGTTTTCAACAGTTCCTATTATCTACCCAAACACACACGATGGAACGACCAAATGGAGTTATTTTAGTTTGCAACCATCACCAATACAAACATGGCACTGAGAAATACATCAGCAAAAATTCTGATTGGAAACAATCGTGACAAAACATGAATCACCTTTCCAGACGCTCGAAAACCCGAAGTCCACACCACAACTCACTCTGTATGTCCCGTACCAGCGTGCCCTGGTACCAAGAAGCCTGAATTTTCTTTTCCATCAGGTGTTTTATTGGGGGGGGGAAGGATTCCCATCTCTGAACACCTAACATGAAACTACGGTATCAAAATCCTTGCCTGCTTATTAGGGCCATCGAGGACCACAGCTGAGTGAGCAAGTGTAGTCCCCAAGAAACTCAGATACAGATCTGCCCCTCAGGTGTGTGGGGCACACTGGTGACCTGAAAAGGTCACTGCATTCTGTTCAATGCCTCCACTTCTGTAAACACGATGGAACTTACACTAGTCGCTAACACCAGGTAGTCACAACCCATCTTACAGAACACTGATCATTCCTAAGTTTAAGTTTGTCTGCAAACACTCAGAGCAGAAAATAAGACTGTGGTCTTCGAATCTAAAATGTAGGACAAGACCTGAGGAAACCCCAGCTCTCTCTCTCTCTATTGCTCTTTGACTCGACTGCATCTGTTGTCTGACTCTACATCAGTTAGTAAGGATTAATTAAAAGAGGTTAGCTGTTTCATGCAACACTATATCAAAAACTAATGATGTAATATATGGTGATTAACATAACATAATAAAATTTTAAAAAAGGGATTAGCTATAACAATCACTTTTATAAACTGGAAAAAGGTAAACATCAGTTCATTTTAGGGTCAGAACACCATGGTTCGGATCAGTATTCTGTGGGGACCCGATTAAAGAAGCCCTCAAATTGATGACCTTGAGAGTTCTCAAGCCTGGAGACACTAGTGTGTGAAACTGTGTTCTGTATGAAAATCTCCCAGGTGTAATACTACGCTTTAATTAAACTGATAAAGTGCTAAGAATGGAAAAGACTTCTCTTTGAAATGACAATGTTCCCTTTGGGGGTGAAGGCACAGTAAGCACAAGGGAAGGGAAGGGGAGAAACATTTCAATAAAGGATTTTCTTCTTCCCCCATCCTGCCAAAATTAACCCAATATCCAGAACCACGTAAAAAATACATTATTTATATATAGGCTCACCTTAAAAATGGCTTGTATTTCTGAAACTATCATATATTTAAAAAAGCAACAGGTTTTAGACACTAGAATTTCAAGCAGAACACAAAAACCCTAGACATGATAATTTAGTATAAATGATTTCACCTAAACACAGCCATTTCACCTGCTTTAAAAAATAATTTCACTTCAGTTTGCCAAAGCAGTTTCCATTTGAATTAATTAAGAGAGCTACTTTAGTGTCCGTTCCATGGTACTTACTAAAGTGTGTCAGGGGGACCAATGATAAGGACTTCCCACCGGTAAAGATCATTGTCATCTATTAAACCTGCTGAAAAGCCTTCCACTGGATTTTTGTTGAGTTCTGTGGAAAAAAAAAATTTTTTTGATCAAAACTTTTAGGCATATAATTTTCACCCAACAGATAAATTACAGAACCTGAATGTACATGTTATAAATTCCAAACTATTCAGCAGATATACCTGGGTCCGCTAGCAAAATGCCACCTGATGGCCAAAACACTTCCATTTCTGTACCACAGGGACGTGACGTGGAAGCAAACTGTCCAGGAGATCACGTTCTAAACCCCTCTCACTTCCACCCTGGTTTCCAGCTAGGCTCTTAGCATTCTAGGTAGCCTTACGGTGGTAGATGGAACTCGTTAAGATGCAGATATCCAGGCCCAGCCCTCACAGACTGTGGCCCCCAGGTAAGTCAAACCAGTACTCCCAGTCATTCCTACACTGTGGTCTTTAGGGTACACTTTCAGAAGCACCAGCCGAAGCCTAAATACCTTTCTGTGGGAATTTGCTGAGCTTAGCCAACCTTCATTTATACCAGTGTGTATCTGTGTGACAAGCCCTCTGTCACCTTGGGGACACACGTCTACAGTTGGTGTTCTCAGACTCAGCAAGGAGAGAGCAAACTCCTCGTGCCTTGCCTGTGTGTGTTGACCCCGTTGCCAGCCAAGTTTCCGGCACACAGGAGTGGCTTAACAATAATAGCGAGAGGCGCGCCCCGCTGGCTCAGCCGGAAGAGCGTGCAACTCCTGATCTCAGGGTCCTGGGTTCGAGCCCTACACATGGGGTGTTGAGATCACTTAATAAATTTTTTTTTTTTTTTAAGAAGGACTAGGAAGGGGGGGGAAGATGGGAGGGAGGGAGGAAGGGGGGAAGAGGGAAGAGGAGGAGGAGGAGGAGGAGGAAGAACAGGAAAAGAAGAACAGCTGGAGCCTACAGGAATGGCAGTGGTATCATGAGAATTTTCTCTTCCAGAGAGAGTGCTCTGGCATGGATGGAAAATGATGGAAGCAAAGGACTAGTGGGGGGAGTGGGGGAGACGTAGGCCAACAAGGGAGCTTAGTGGACCAGGTCAGGCGTGCAGTCTGATGGTTCCTAGACACACAGGGCTTAATAATGACCTACTGGCGGTGGGTATTATCTACAGATTTTTTTAAAACAGCTGTTTAATGAGGTATAATTGACATTCAGTGAACTGCACATATTTAAATTAGAAAATTTGATACAGGGCACCTGGGTGGCTCAGTCGGTTAAGCGACTGCCTTTGGCTCAGGTCATGATCCTGGAGTCCCGGGATCGAGTCCCGCATCGGGCTCCCTGCTCGGCAGGGAGCCTGCTTCTCCCTCTGACCCTCCCCCCTCTCATGTGCTCTCTCTCTTTCTCTCTCTCTCTCTCAAATAAATGAATAAAATCTTAAAAATAAATAAATAAGGGGCGCCTGGGTGGCTCAGTCGTTAAGCGTCTGCCTTCGGCTCAGGTCATGATCCCAGGGTCCTGGGATCGAGTCCCACATCGGGCTCCTTGCTCGGCAGGGAGCCTGCTTCTCCCTCTGCCATTTCCCCTGCTTGTGCTCTCTCTCTCTCTGGCAAATAAATAAATAAAATATTAAAAAAAAGAAAAAAAATCTGTGTAGCAGTATTTTCAATAGCCAAAAACTGGAAACAACTCAAATGTCCATAAGCAGATTAACAAATAAACACATAATGGTATATCCACAGAACACCATATTTTTTCAGCAATATAAAAAGCATGGGGGCGCCTGGGTGGCTCAGTCGGTTAAGCGGCTGCCGTCGGCTCAGGTCATGATCCCAGGGTCCTGGGATCGAGCCCCGCATTGGGCTCCCTGCTCCATGGGAAGCCTGCTTCTCCCTCTCCCACTGCCCCTGCTTGCGTTCCCTCTCTCGCTGTGTCTCTCTTTGTCAAATAAATAAATAAAATCTTAAAAAAAAAAAAAAAGAAAATTTGATACATATTAATACACAAACAGGCCTGTGAAGCAATCAACACTATCATGGTAGTAAATACACACACACACTGCATACAGAAATCAGCAACAGGGAGTTCAAACAGGGAGCACCGACTGGCTCCAACTGAGAAGTGGGGGCCAAGCGCTGGAGAGAGCAGTCTGGGAGGGATGTGCTGGGCGCCTGAACAGGTGTGTGAGTCTCACATGCTTCCTGCAATCAGCCTCCAAGAGTTCAGTCTAATGATAAAAGTAAGCGTAATATGACCCAGAGCGTTTTTACAGAGGACTGAATAAAGTGTGTTAGTAACGGAGAAGATCTTAATTTTTTGAGGGATGAGGAGATGCTACTCAACAACTAGGATTTAACACCCCAACATGCCAGTGAAACACAGAGCCTAAAGGCAAATTTTATTTATATTTAAATATGAATGGTTTTTCTCAAAAGTTGAAAGATTTTTTAGAAGTCTAAATGTTTGCCTAAAAGGCAACGTAGACCTATCTAACGTTTTAAATCAGTACTGTATTTCAAAATGCAAGAAATGTATTTTTACTTTTAAATAGCTAGTCTAAGACATTTTTAAAAGGATACTGAAAATGGAAAGACATGAAGATAAGAATTGCATTTTGTTTCTGCATGTAAACACTCCCTGAGCTGCCAGCATGCATGCAGGAGGGCAGGGCGCAGGGAGGGCACCCGGAGCCCTACCCCAAAGTCCACCAGGGCGGGGCGGAGCCCAGACCACCGAAGTTAAGGGCAGTTCTGTTCTTTTTCTAGACGAACATTATCATATTTCTCAGACCATTTTCTTCAACACGGTATTCAAGTCTTGGGAGGATTCTTTTTTTTTTTTTTTTTTAAAGATTTTATTTATTTATTTGACAGAGAGAGGCACAGCAAGAGAGGGAACACAAGCAGGGGGAGTGGGAGAGGGAGAAGCAGGCTTCCTGCCGAGCAGGGAGCCTGACTGGGGCTTGATCCCAGGACCCTGGGACCATGACCTGAGCCGAAGGCAGACGCTCAATGACTGAGCCACCCAGGTGCCCCTCTTGGGAGGATTCTATAATTTATCCAGAAAATCACCCTCTTGCTGCATTTTCCATCAGAAGTCCAGTGGAGTTTTATAAATGGAGGTGGGTTAAGTTCTGCAATTAGCATATACGGTCAAAATTATCCTTGAGAATTCCCTTACATGTCCCAGAAAGTACATCACTGCTTCTCACTTTTGTCAATACACCATAATTTCTAAAACACTTTGCACATTCTCCATGCTTTTCTTCTACAGGAGTGATTATGTCTACTGCTTGTAAGTAACACAAAAGCAACACTGAAGATATCCGATATCTCACTTTTGTCGTGGCTTCTGCCCCTAGCAGGGGTCCCCCAGGGCCTGGACCCATAGGTATAAGGTGCGTGATACCACACCTTCACGAATGTTTCCCTTTCCCATGAGGTCTTCCCTAAATAATTTACCAAATAATCGTCTTTTGACTTCTGCTAAGTTCCCAGTAATTATACTTCTAGTGTGTACTCTATCCCTGACACTCGATTCCTGTGGAATCTCAGCCCCTGATTCCCATGGAAGTAAACAGGCAAGTACCATCTGTGATAAATGCTCCAACAGCAGTACAGTAATTTGGAGGGCCCAAAGAAGGGCACCTTATAATCATGAAGAGACAGAAAAGAGCTTCTAAAAAGAGAGGAGACATCGGAAAAAAGACAAAGTATTTGGATGGCTGCTGCGAGGTTCAGACAGAGGAGCCTATACAAGAACTTGAAACATGGAGATCAGGAGCTGGCTAGAACAAAGCAGGGCATGCAGCCGAGAGCAGACAGAAGGTCAGAAGCTGGGCAGCAAAGGGCCTTTGTAAGCCCTGTATCCAGAGGGCAATGACAAGCCTTTGGAGGGTTTGTGTTTTGTTTTGTTTTTAAAACAATGAGGTGGCCATGGGAGTCACATTTTAAAAAACAAATCTTGCAGAGTGTGAAAGATGACACAGAATAAGGCCACAGTGACAACAAAGAAACCAAAAAGGAAGCCATAAAGGTAATCCTGGAAAGTGTACCTTTAGTAGGATGCCACTGGGAATAATGACAGGAAACAAGGACATTTGGGGAAAGAATCAACCAATCAAACTTGGTGATGTGAGGGTTAAAATGACGCAGATTTCCTCAAAAAGTTAAACACAAAGTTACCATATAACCCAGTAATTCACTCTTCGGTATATACCCAAGAGAAAGGAAGGCATCCACTTGTCCACATAAAAGCTCTACAAAAATGTTTATATATCAGCATTACTTGTAATGGTCCAAAGGTGGAAACAACTCGAACGTCCGTGGGTAAATTATGGAGTATGTGCATAATTGAGTATGACTCAACCACAGAAAGGAACGAAGTACTGGTATAAGGAACAACCTAGATGAACCTCAAAATCACTAGGCTCAGTGAAAGAAACCAGACACCTAAGGTCACATATTGTAGGACTCCATTTATAGGACACATCCAGAAAAGGCAAATCCACAGAGACAAAAAGCAGAACAGAGTTGCCAACAGATGGGGAAACGGGATTTGGCCATGGTGGGTGTCTGTGGGGTGATGAAAAAAGTTTAGAAACTAAGGAGACAGTGGTTTGCCCAACACTGTGAATACACTCCACACACTGAACTGTACACTTTTAAAAAGCTACTTCTGTGTCATTTTAATTTCATATCAAATTTTAAAAATAACACACAGGTTTCTCTGCAGAGCAACTGGGTAGAAGTCTGTTCGTTCTCAGAAATGGGACATATAGGAATGAGACAGGGAAACTGAAGGACTCCATAAAACCCTGCTTTTTGCTTTTTCCCCACTTCTATTCTAGCAAGAATAGACCTGCACTCCCACTTCACACAGTCCTCAGAGTGCAGTGTGTGTCCTCCTTGTAAGGGATAAGTAGTTAGTGATTTCTCTAGGACAGATAACACCTAAGGAACAACCAGGTGAAAATGACTGGACGAAGCCATCATATGCATATTTCAGACCACTGGCACTAGACAACTGGATGCCAGGGCCTACTGGCTCTCAGGAATAACGACCCTCCTGTTCCTGGATGCACAATCAA